TGTGTCCCAGGTGGCGGGACCTGAGCCTGTGTCCTGGGTGGTGGGACCTGAGCCTGTGTCCCGGGTGGCGGGACCTGAGCCTGTGTCCCAGGTGGTGGGACCTGAGCCTGTGTCCCAGATATGGGGTGGTGGGACCTGAGCCTGTGTCCCGGGTGGCGGGACTTGAGCCTGTGTCCCAGGTGGCGGGACCTGAGCCTGTGTCCTGGGTGCGGGGTGGTGGGGACGGACATGCTGGGTATGGGTATGGCTCCACCCCCCCACCTCCAGCCAGGGTGCAGGGCGGAATGACCGTATGGCGGCAGAAGCACACTTGGTTTTCCAGGAAGCCCTTCTAAGGAGCCTGCTGTGGTCTCATTCTAGTGAAAGCAGCTCAGCGGCCATCCCCACCCACCAGTGAGTGTGGGCCCGCGAGGCCTCATCTGCTCCCCTTGCTTCTCTGAGCAGGTGTGTCTCCAGCTGTAGACAGGCTGCCAGGACTCCACATGCAAAAAGGTGATGGCTAGTTCCCCTGTGACGTGGTTGAGAGAGACCCCGGGTCATGGGAAAGGAAGCGCTCCCACACGGAAGCTTAACTGGGGGCAATGACCTGGAGAGACATAGGAATCGAGCATCAGGGCTCCCAGCTAGAGGGTGCAGGCTTCTCCTGAGAAGCAATCGCCAAGCGCCAGATCTCTGCTTGGAATTACATGCCCAGGGTAGGGGGCGACGTTGGCTGCTAAGATGTGGCGTCCCAGTTGTCCCTGTCACCCAGCTGTGGACACTGTGACACCCCCTCCCCACACCCCAGGGTCAGGCAAACCCTCAGGGCTTGTCTGAACGTGGATAAATAGCCCATGATGGATCACTTCTCCCCGCCGCCTTAAATGAGCTCGTGATTCAGATCAGAAAGGGGCCAGGGGACCAGGCAGTCATGCTCTCCTGGGCAGGTGCCCGTTTCACGTGCTATAATACCCTTGTCATCAGTAGAAGACTGTGCATCACTTTTTGGTGACCTGGCTGTGACCCCGACGTTGGGCAGTCTTTGGACAAGTCGCGGTGTCTCTGTGCTCCCACGTCCCCAGAGGGTCCCGAAGGACACGCTCTTTCAGGGGCTTTGTGCCTGCTTCCGATGCCCCTTGCACTCAGCCTGCCTTTAATCCACGGGGCCCTTAGGTGCCTGTCCCTGAGAGAGGCTGGATCGGCCCTATTCAAGAAGGTCACTTCGGGTAGATGAGGTCAGTCAGGGGCACTGGGTCCCCTCCAGACCTCCCGGGAGCCCACCTCTGTGTGCCCGGCTGCCCTGGGCTGCAGACCAGGTCACTGTCAGGTCCCCTGGCTTATAACCCACAGATTGCTCTCGGGGCCAACATTCCACACGTCCCGGAGCACTTCCTCCCCTATGGGGCTGAGCCTGTCTTCTAGAATCATCCACCAGATGCTCGCTCTCATCTCCGCCTAGAAGCTGCCTACGTCCTGCCCCCCGTCCCCCCATCCCTCCGTCCCCTGTCCTAGAGAGACTGAGGGGCACAAAGGAAGGGCTCCAGGGGGTGGCTGCCCCAGGCCCTGACGGCTGTGCGGGGCATGCACAGTGCTGTCCCCCGGCCAGGCCGCGCTGGGCAAGCCAGGCGTCCTGCCTGGGACAGATCTGCCGTCACTCTGACCCCCAACGCCCGCCCAGCTCAGGGTGAGAGTCTGCCTCGCCCTCCTAAAACTGCAGGGATCCCAGAAGATAGACTCGTGATGGGAGATGCAGTATGGATCCCTCAGCTGTAAGACAGGGCATAGTTTCTCAGATCTCGTTTTCCCTAAGCTCTCAAATTAGGGACTTGATTAGACACTTAGAGTGTAAACGCTCTGACAGGGTCTTCTGGTCACAATTAGTGTGAGCAGCGGAACGGGTCCAGGCAGAACCAGCGCCTCATCAAAGCCAAATAAAGCCGGAGGTGGCCTCGGGCTGATCTGAGTAGGAATTTCTAGGGGGTCCCTTCTCCAAATCCCAAAGTGTGGAGTCCGCGAAAGCGGCCAGGGAACATTCTTCCAGGCCAGTGTCGTGTGACTGTGGCCTCGGGTCTGAGGAGACACATGGCTTCTGTCCCTTCTCTCTTGGACTCCGGCTGACCTTTTCACTGGGAGGCCCGTCTCTGGGTCGGGGGAGATGCCTGTGTCTGCTGGACGGGCCGGGTGGTCAGGCGGCCAGAGCTGAGTGTAAACATGTTTGAATGAGTCTTAGAGCAAAGGGACGTCCATGTCTGGGTGACTCATGGCCATGACGAGAAGACCCCGGAGTTGCCCAGCTGCTCCGAGGACGCAGGGCCCCCTTCGCAGGCTCATGGAGGAGCGCTCAGTGGCCAAGGCCGAGCGGCTATTTGGGATCCTTTGTGGGGACGTGTTCTTCCCCCAGCCCGCGCCTGACGTGGGCGAACCCGTGGCGCCCACTGCGCCCGTTCACCTGTTCGGCAGCTCTGTACGAATGGTCTGCAGTCCCGGCTTCCCTGGACTGGGAAGTCAGGGTGGCACAGTGGGGGACCCTGCAGTGGGATTGCTCTCCTTCCAGGGGGGCAGGTAGGCAGTTCCGTGGTGTCTGCACCTGCTAGCCAGACGGAGACTCGCGCCCCCCTGATTCCGAGGGGTCTTCCTCCTCTCACTCACACTCAGTGGCCCGGGTCCTGAGGTCAGCTCAACTGTAGGCCTGGACCTTTCCCGACAGTTGGCACTGGGTGGCCCTGACAGGCTGTAAGGACGAAGGCAGAGCCCAGAACTGGGATGCTTTGGGGGGCAAGCCAGAGAGGGTGACCCTGCTTGCCTGGGGGTCTCCGGGCCTCACCACCCTCTGCCTGCGGGGGGACATCGTGTGACGGGAAGACAGGCCTGAGACCCTAGAAGATGCCATCGTGGATCCTCCTGAATGCAGGAGGCTGTGTGTTCCATTGGGCTGCCCCGACTTCCTGGGGCCCCAGGACACAGCAGGCCTCCCCATGATCACTGGCCCCCTCCTCTGTTCTCGTGCCTCGGATTGGGGTCCTCTCTCCATTTTGTCCTCCGTCTGGTAACCTCAGGGCCACTGAGACTCCCTTCATGCTCAGGATCTGAAGCAGGGCTGGGATATGACAATGTCCCCCTGCCCCCTTTGGCCTTCGCCCCAGACCTTCCCTCCAGGCGGGCCTGGCGCTCCAGATCAGCCCCCGTCCAGCAGACCGTCTTGTCCAGAAGCCGTTGGCTTAGTAGGATTCAGTTTAATAGTGATGCCTTTATTAAGTTCCTACTGTATACCCAAATGGCCGCAGTGCCCTTTGGCCTCAGCGAAGGGAAAAGGAAATGACCTAAGGAAGTAATTGGGCCTCTTGCTGAACCTGCCTCTCCCCGTGACTTTGAGAAATCAAGTAGGAAGAGTGGGACCCAGACGCAGTCCCACAGAGAGCCCAGAAAGCACGGGTCAGGGAGCGTGTCAGCGTCCGGCTCACGTCACGCCTGGAATAGGCCATCTCTGGAGTGACAATAAAGCCAATATTATTTCACCAGCAGGAGGATTCATGTCAGACATAATTTATCCTCTCAGGCTCTCTGAGCTGAGATCTGCTCTCACGAAGGTGTGAACGCTGGGACACGGCGTCCTCACGAGCTGGAGAGATGGGGCCATGGCTCTCCCCAGGCTGCGCCCTCGTTCCCCGTTCCTCTCTGTGTTTCAGACAGGATGTATATGGCGTGGGGTCGTCTTGGGCTGGGGATGGGGCAGTGACCCTCGAGATGAGAGCGAGGGACTGTAACCTTGCCACCCTGGACGTGGGCAGTGGCCTCCGGGTGCCTCAGGTCAAACATCCCCTGGGCCCCTTGGTGCCCATTCACCCCCAGGGACCCAGTGGGGCCCCAAGGTCCTGCCCTGGCCTTGCAGTGGGGGCTTCTTCTGGCCTGCCCAGCAGATGCCCCTCTGACTCCCCTCACATCCCTCGAGCGGAGGGACAGCGTGGAGCCGAGGGCTCTGAGACTGTGGTGATCTCAGGACACCTCTTCCCAAAGGCTTCCCGTCCATGTGGAAGGGCGGCCTGACTCGGCCTGTCTTAGGACAGGTGGCCGCGCTGCCCAGTGTTGCCCATTCCCCTGGGGGAGGGAGACCCCAGCCTGAGCCCTGGGGCTGGGGTCCTCGGGCCTCTGTCCCCCCGTGGGCACCTTAGCTGGGGTTTTGGGGCCTGTGGGGTGGACTTCTCAAGCGGCCTTCTGTCTCCGCCTTGGGACCTCACACGAGTCTCTGAGCTGGCCTTTGGGGGCCAGTTGGTTTCCCTGATGGGAGCAGCCGTGGCCTCTCTTGCCCTTGGCTCGTCCTGGCAACATCTCACCCTGAGTCCTTCAGAGGTCACAGAAGCCACAGCGGGTGGTCCCCTTCCTCCTGCCCCCCGGGAGTCTTAGGACGCCCTGGGCCTGGTGCCCTGGAGGTCCCCTTGTCCCCAGCATGGCACCCTGTGGCTCTCTGCTCCCTTGAGCAGAAGCAGGGCGAGCTGCCTGGCCACACGGCGCTTCCATCAGCAGAGGGCGCCCACGGATAGCGTCTGCTCTGGAAGCTGCCCTCCCCCCAGCTCGGCCCCACAGGCCTTGGGGCCAGGTGCTTGGCCTTGTTACGTTCTAAGGAGCGGTGGGTCTGACAACAGGGTCGCTCCTTATCCAGGCCCGTAAGCCAGGTTCACAGCCCCTCTTCTGTGAGGGTGCTCATGCCAACACCTCTCCGGACGCCGCTCCTTCTGGCCGGTTCTGCGGAGCGTTTCCGGGTGGCTCCCCTGTGCAGGGACCCACCACGCTCTCTGGGCCAGCAGGATCCATGGCGGGGAAGGGCGCGTGCGCGTGGGGAGATCTGGAGCAGGCAGGGCAGGCCCGCACTGGCTCTCGGCAGGCTGGTGTGGGCCTGGTCGTTAATGACCTCGTGCTGTTTCTGTCCTGAGTTTTAAAGAGCATTCCCTGCCATTAACATATGGGGTTTGTTTTTTTCCTTCCTTTTTAAAATTTGGGTTGAAGTCTTTCGATTTGTTTCTACTTATCTTCTGTTTTGCATACTAGCCCGGAGATGTGGTCCCTTGCCTCGGGCCTTCCTTCTCCCTGCTCTCTCTCCCCCTCCCTCCTGAGGGCACTCAATGAGACACAATCTGCTAGGTATAGCCTTAGGCGCTATGGAGGGTACATACGGAGATGCATCTGAAAACAGCCCCTGCCCAGAGGGAGCTGACATTCTAAGAGGTTCTAATTAGGATTTATACACAGATGTATTGAGGTATAGGAACTGAGGAGATGACGTTGAAGACTCACTGCTGGAAGAACCAGTCAGGTTTGTATTTGTACTGAGCCTCCAAGAGGGTAGGCTTGGTCATGTGGTGATAGGGAAGGGCTGCAGGAACAGTTTGATCAAGGGGCAGATGTGCAGCAGATGGCTGTGCACCACCATATGCACCAAAAGTTGCCAGGTCCCCGAGCAGGTTTGTATAGCTGTGGCTGGGTATATTTAGGGCTTCCTGACTGCCTTCTTCTCTCTGTCTTCTGTTACAGCATCTTCATTTCCTGAGGATTTCTCCATTCTAACCACTGTGAAAGCCAAGAAAGGCAGCCAGGCCTTCCTGGTCTCCATCTACAATGAGCAGGGCATCCAGCAGATCGGCCTGGAGATGGGCCGCTCTCCGGTCTTCCTCTATGAGGACCACACGGGGAAACCAGGGCCAGAGGATTACCCCCTCTTCAGGGGCATCAACCTGTCCGATGGCAAGTAAGTGGGCACTGCTCAGCAACCCTGTCCTACTCCTGCTGGGGGGTCTGGGCAGGCTGCCTAAAGCCTGCTGGCTGGCAAGGGACCCATGGCAGGATGCACCTGATAAAAAAGCAGGATGGTCCCACCATGCACACAGGTGGGCACCAGGCCGAGAGAGGACTGGGCTCGAGTCCGGAGGCCTGGGTTCTGGTCTTGGGTTGTCTTCTGCGTCTTTGGGGGGCCCTTACTTCTCCCTGGGTCTCCACTTCCCCTTCAAATGCACTAAAGTATCTCAAATGCTAGGCTCCGAGTCTCAAAGGGACATCGAAGATCGTGCGGTTATACCCGACTCCTTCCAGAAAGGATGTACGATATCCTTTTATTTTATTTTTAATTTTTTTACTTAAATTCAATTAATTAACATATAGTGTACTATTGGTTTAGAGGTACATGTCTGTGACTCATCAGTTGCATATAACACCCAGTGCTCATTACAACCCATGCCCTCCTTCATGCCCGTCACCCAGTTACCCCAGCCCCCACTCCCCTCCCCTCCAGTAACCCTCAGTTTGTTTCCTATGACTAAGAGTCTCTTATGGTTTTTCTCCCTCTCTGATTTCATCTTGTTTTATTTTTCCCTCCCTTCCACTATGCTCCTCTGTTTCGTTTCTTAAATTCCACATATGAGTGAAATCATATAATTGTCTTTCTCTGACTGACTTATTTCGCTTAGAATAATCCCCTCCAGTTCCATCCACATCGATGCAAATGGTAGATTTCATTCTTTTTGATGGCTGATTAGTATTCCGTTGTGTATAGATACCACATCTTCTTTAAAGGACGTATGATATCCTTCAGGGTATGGACACATTAGATGTGGGAGTGAATGATTTAAAAAAAAAAAAGACAAATCTTTCCAGAATTTTCTACTGGGGGCATACCTAAACCCTGGTAGTTTGAAAGTCAGCTCTTTCACGGCGAACACATCCGAGGCCGTGGGCCTGATCTTGGAAGCCCCTCAGGATGTGGTCCCTGTGTTTCTCACAGAGAGCTTCACATCGATCCATCCATCCCCCCACTTCCCAGCAAACCCTGTCTTCTCCAGCAGCCTGCAGTTTGCTACGGGGTTCAGGTTCACAGACCCGTGGCCAGCCTGGTCTGATGGCAGAGGCTGGGCTAGGAGCTGCCCAGCCCCCC